AAATGAAATGAAACTAATGCAACTCGATCTTGAACAAGGATTCCATGTATTTGAAAAAATTGGTTAGCCTTGCACAGCCAAATAGTTGGATCTCCTTTTCCTTCATAGCGAGGAAAATCAATCTTAACCGTTTTTGGAACATAAGATCCTGTCAGTGAACCCTCGAAGGCATTTGCACGCCCAACTGGTGTGCTATGGGCTGCTGTTGAGTCTTCCGCCCTGCCTGGAGTGTGCATTCTAATAAGAGAGTTCCCAGCAAGCTCGCTGGTCTGAATGGTGATTTGTTCCGCCCGATCAGTGAGTATACTGACTGCTTCGGACAATTTACGCAAGATCTCCTCCTGACCTGTTATCGTTCCTATGGCCACCTCCAATTGTTCCAACCTGTGATCCATTCCCATTCTCTAATACCATTGTGGTACAGCCTTGCTTGGGGGATTAGCATTTCCCCTACCTATTTTGGGAGTAAACTAGAAAGCAAGGATTGTCTAGCTAGTTTGAGGGAGCAAGAACCTCCAACATCAATCAAAGTAAAGCAGAGGGATGCCTTGTGTTTACCTCATTTTAGAATAAATAGCAGAGAACTTCAAAAAATTCCCAGAAATGTGGACCCAATGTTCACAAGTTAATTTCAACGATCCAACAACTAGGCTAGACTTATTCAAATAACTAGACTAGACTTCAAATAAAAATGGAAAATTACTAACATCAGAAAATAAAACTCCTGTCATAAGGTGAGAGATCTTACAAAATAAATAACCTGCTTATTTCTAATTTTGCCCTAAAAAAATGAAATATTAATTTCAAAACAAAATTATTTACTCCAACGTATATATGTTAAGGTTGTCAAATGCACATAATTTCAAACTGCTTTCTTAATAAATGGCGGACATTACTTGGACCTTGTTTGTTTCATCCTACGTTTCATATGATGACGAGATACATTTCAGTGACGATTCCTTTAATTGGCAGCCAAAAGTTATTATACAAATGTGTGTTATAATGAAACAATATAATACAAAATTAAAGGCTAAAAGTGTTAGTTAGATCAATAAGCACGTGAACGACTAAAACTCGTTATAAAATATGTTCCATAATTCCAGGAATATGTAGCCGAAGGTTCCTCTAAAAATCTGCCCTGAGCTTGCTTTGCTTTAACAGCATCTAGAAGCAAATTCAGGAAGTTGCAATTCTCTTCTGTTTTTAAATGTCATTCTCCTATAGTTCGGTAAATTTAATTTCAACTAAGATAATCATCTAAGGGCATGTTTGATACACAGTATTGGACTAGACAGGATATGACACTAAGACCAGATGTTCTACTTCTTTTTCTTTGTCATCAATTCTATTTGAGTACTGTAGTCTACCCTACAAAATGAGGCATATAGGAAATAAAATAAGTGCAAGCGTGGAATGCTAGACTAGGATAAAGTTGGATGAAGCTGCTTAACATCTTGTTTCCTTTAGCGTCGATTTTCTCATTTGTGTAATGTGCATCATTGCTAAATCCCTTCTGTTTCAGACATTATGGTACGTAGATTTTGCTCTTGTATGCACCATAGTGATTTGTGATATGTCAATTAAATGAAGTAATAATCTTTTGTGAAGAACTTGACCTCTTAGTTCTGTAGTAAAGTTAGTGAGAATAAATAAAAGCATGTTAGTTTTGTTATGGCTGTTGGGACTGCAGCTCAACTTTTATAACTGAATTACTTATCCATTGATATTGCTTTATTCTGATTGGTTACCTTTGCCTATTTAAAGGGATCAATCAAAGAGCTGAGGGAAAGAAATATAAAAAATCAGGCTCTGTGAACTAGAGAGAGAGTTTTCTCATTATGTTCTTGTAAACGTCTTCATGTGTATATCTGAGTGCTTATGATTGTATATAGAGTGTAATCTCATTCTTTAGTGGATTGATCAAGGAAAAGAGCCCCTGCTTCGAAAGTAGGACTGATTTGGTTAATGCAAATAAAATATTCTCGTTTCCATTGTTCTTCTCGTTCCTGTTCGTCTCTGTTATTGCTTGGTACTGGTGTGTGGTGTTATTTTCTTGTTTGTACATTATCTTGATAATTCGTTGAGGAATTATAATCCTCACATCTTTTTTCCATACAAAATCCTTGAAATTTAGTAACTTCAGATCTCATGTGTAATAGGGTTTGAAATTAATAATCATTTTGCTTTCTATCTTCAAACATCTCAATGATGTTTTTCGTGATAATTTTTAGCCTCCATTAATATTTTACATGGTTCTTCCTATTCTAGGGTGGTAAAGCTGTGCTGTGCTGTGCTGTCAGGGCTGCCACCCCGGTGAGACACTTGTCGCGTCGGGTTTCACACTTTTCTGCACTGGCTGAGACATTACCCCTTGCAGCCGAAGATTTCTTCCAATTTGGCAACACTCGTATAGTTATCCGATCATTCAAGTACAGGAATAGGATCCCAGGCCCTTCTCTATCAATTCCAACCTTTTGCCTGGTCGCTAACCTATCTTTCTGAGCCCTTTGTTTGCCTATGTAAAATGCTAAATTTGGTGCATAAAATATCAATAGTGGTGCAAATCTTGCAGCATCTAAATTCTCTCACATGCGTAAGTAGAGACTCATTTCTCTTACAGACCTATGCAAAGTAACTGAATAAACACTCCTCAATTGACTCTGCAGTTCTCTGTGGTGAGCATAGACGTCCACTTTTGCCATCATGTTTCATAGCCAATTTTGTGACTTCCCTTTCATGTTTGGAGAATTATCATGGATAGAGTTAATATGATTAAGCCTCTCAAGATAATGCCTTTTCTATTTTTGCGTAAGTTATTCTTTCTCACCAGAATTGCCTGAAATATGATCATGTATTATACTACCTTCTTCTATTTGTTCTCTGCATTACCATGTATCATTTCCAGCAGTGCTAGATTACACAGCTTCCATCTCTTCTATCTAGAGGGTGTTAAAATATGCCGGCCTATCCTTGCGTCTGATTGTATGCGGGCCAGGGGCCGCCTCAAAACAATGCAACTTACATCTGTAGGTCTATCACAATGCATCAGTTCATCTATAAACACACTGATGTGAATGGAGAGTGCGTGTATAACCATGATCTACCACCCTTTTGTGTTGCATTGCCAGTTAGTGCAATCTATCTATCCCCTTGTTTGACATCTATTTTAATTTACAAACATAATTGGTCAAAACTATTTTTAATCCACACATATCATGAAATCCACAAGTGCTACATACTTAGTAACACAAATTTCTATTTGTTTGAATCGATTATAATATATTTCCAATTTCAAGAGCTTGTTATTTCTACCTTCCTAATATTTTTATTTTTGTTGTGGGAGGAATTACAGGACACAAGGGTTGGTATATTGCTAGTTATGTGCCAAGAGTCAAATCCATCACTTATCATCAGAGATTTAAGACCCAAGCAGTATGTTTAGGTTTCAACTGAAGTTGCATACAAGTCCCCAAACGGATGAACCACTTGTTCAGGAATCCAATGAGTTCATTTGACAACATAAGCAAACTAGGCCTCGTCCCAATAAATTCAAGTTTTGCCCCATGCATTCTTTTTTTCCATTTCCAGCCGTTCATCCATTTTATGTAATTTGTTGCTTTGGTGTAAAATTTATCTAACATCATAGGCAGATTCGAATCTCTTATCTTTTGACAGTTTATTCGAAATTTACACTTTCAGAACTGCTAATGCAAAAGGCAGATGAGCATATACCCAAGAACATTAAAGACAAAGAAGCACATACAAAACTGAACGCATTGCTGAAAATTCTAGAACATGCACTGTTGGCTCATTACAAACTGAAACGCTGCTCAAACTACAAATATGTATATCTAAAGTATAAATCACATTTCCCCTCGGTAACCCCCAGACCCGAAATAATCCCTCCTTGAGCTAGCAATTTGCATGCTTTTTTGATGCTCTAACTTGGGGCAATCGCGGATACGATGACCAAGCCCACCACAGTAGACGCAGCCTTTAACTCCACTTGCATTGGCTATTTCCTCCACATCTTCCATTGGATCATTAAGCTCGGCCAGAACTGGAGGTATCCTCTGCTTCGCCTCTTGCAACAGGTGCTTCAGATCAAGAAGCGTTGTTTCACTCTGGTTCTTATTAATAAATGTCGTTGCAATTCCTGTCTTTCCACATCTTCCAGTTCTTCCAATCCTATGAACATAATTTTCTATCTCGGCAGGCATATCGTAATTGATAACATGCTGAATATCAGGGAAATCAAGACCTTTTGATGCTACATCTGTGGCAACTAAAACATCCTTCTTGCCAGATTTGAAAGATGAAATAGCATACTCTCTCTCTTCTTGATCCTTCCCTCCATGAACTGCCACAGCTTCAACTCCCTTCAGAAGAAGGTATTCATGAATGTCGTCCACGTCAGCTTTATTCTCGCAGAATATTAGAACGGGGGGTGGGGTTTTTTGCAAGCATTCGAGAAGGTAAACAATTTTTGCCTCCTGTTTCACGTATTCAACTTCTTGAATTACATCAAGATTTGCTGCTCCAGCCCTTCCGACATTCACAATAATGGGTTTTACCAATGCACTTCTAGCAAATTTCTGAATCTTTGTGGGCATGGTAGCCGAAAATAGAAGAGTTTGTCTTTGCGCTTTAAAGTGATCAAAAACTTCTCTTATGTCATCTTCAAAACCCAGATCCACTAACCGATCTGCTTCATCAAGAGTCAAATATCTGCAGGAAAAGCCAACACTAGATAAACATCTTCAGAAAAATTGGCCTAGCAAAATAGTAACCCAGTCCATGTTGAACAGCATGGATTATTTATACATATGCCACCCACAAATATAGTCCATGTTGAACAGCATGGATTATTTATACATATGCCACCCACAAATATAGCAGAGCAGACAACTGCTCAACTCTCACCCCCACCCTCTGACCAAAAAAGGCAGCTATTTTTTTATCGGAGTTAATAAATTGAGAACATTGACAAGCCAGTCCACCTTACGAAACAGGGGCCCCATATCTTGAAAACTATCTATTCTGTTGATTAGCAAAGTTCCGACAAAGTAACAACAAATACAATTTGGTACTTTAAATTTTTGCCGGAATTGGCTCCATGGCTGACATTAACTTAATGTAAAACATCAACTGCAATAACTAAGAATTTAACGTGTCAACAAAAATATGAGTACTTACCTGCAATTATCAAGGTTCATTTTCTTCTTTGCTAGCATATCCTTTAGCCTCCCAGGTGTAGCAACAACTATGTGGACGCCCTTCTTCACTACATCTAATTGTGACTTCATATCAACGCCACCAATACAAAGTAATGGTCGTAACTCTGGATAACCAAACTCTCTCATGGGTTCAAGAAACTGTTCCACCACCTCATACGTCTGCCTAGCAAGCTCTCTAGAGGGGCAAATAATCAAGCCAAATGGTCCCTCACCTGGCGCGATTGGCATCATCACCTCCTCTTGTAATGCAATCATGATAAGCGGCAACACAAAAACTAAAGTCTTTCCAGATCCTGTGAAGGCAATACCAATCATATCACGGCCAGATAAGATAACAGGCAGCCCCTGCACTTGAATCGGTGTAGGCTGAACAATCCCCTTGGCTTTCAACTTCTTTAAAATTGGTTCGGGAAATCGCATATCCTTAAAATTCTTGATCGGAGGGGGAATATCTTCACCATCCACAATAATATGCCACTGCTTCCGAATGATATCACACGCCTTCTTTGACATCCTCCTTATCGGCAATGGTGGCTTCCAACCAGTCAACAAAGGCTCCGTATAAGTAATTCCCTTTGCCAGCTCCCGAACTGACATTAAAGTTTTCCTATCTGACAAATTTTCAATCATCTCCTTTTCCTGCTGTACTATTTGCTCAGTTTGAGTTACTTCTGGCTGCTCCTTCTTGAGTTGAGAAGCCTTGACCAATAAACTGGGTTTAACCTCAAGAAGTTTCTGCATTTCAATATCATCATCAAGCGTGGTAGCCTGCCCTTTGTGCAGAAGAATTTTCTGCGCCTCAATTGCCCGACGCTTGGCAACTGGAACATACTCCACATAGTCATCATCTCCTTCCATTTTTTCCTGAAAATTCAAATCCTAAAATAGCTCAAACAAAACATCTCCTTTTAACTGCTGAAAGTTAAAATTCAAAAGCCGCACATTTCAGCTGAATTTTTGAGCAAATCAAAGGTTCAATCTTGATATACAGCAAAGAGTCATCACAAATCAAATATCAGGCTCCAACACATTAAAAAAAAAAAAAAAAAAAAGAGGTGTTCATAATATTCTAAGAATATGTGACGCGTTATCCAGAAATTAGATTCAAACGTGACTGTGCATGTACTAGCAGATCAAGAAGTCCAATTAGAAAGACATAAATTGGTGAAATTACTGGATTCCCTAATTATTACTTAACGTATTGAATCGAACCCAAACCTCGAAAGAGGATAAAATAACGAGCGTAAAGCAAAAGTAAATCAAGAGAAGGAAAATTTTATAAGAAATGAGTAAAGAAGAGGAAAATACATACCATATCTATAAGAAGTTACAGCAAAAAAGCAACAAGCGGCGGCGGTGACGGAGAAGGGTAAGCTAAGCGGATCCTCGCCCTGGGCTTGGCTTTTCGAGGTTTTTTCACCAATTCTTTGCCTAATCTGCCTTCTGATTTTTAATCGAATTGGTGTGTATTTTTTTCTTTTCTTTCCCAGGAATTTCTTTAAAAATACCAAAGCAGAAAATGAATAAATTATTTTTGGCTAAATTACATGTTTAGTCACCAATCTTTTCCCCTCACTGCACTTTCCTCGCAAACATTTTTTATTAGAAAATTTTCACATTTCGTCCCTAACCTTTACAAAATGAACAAATTTACCATCAATCTTATTTTTAGCAAGAGTCAAAAGTTGCGACCGAAAGAGGAGACTCACATTTCCAAACAGTTCAAACTTTCATTAAAATCTTTTGTAAGAAGGAAAGAGCTCCCCACACAGGCCCTTTGCACAGGG